CCAATAGACCACTCTACTCATATCAAAAGCACTAAATATTAAAAGATGTTATTTTGTTATTTGTATGAAATATTTTACAAGGAATAAATGAATTTCAAACTTACAGACAAATGAATAGCATGTTGATTTAAATACTTCTGACTGGTTTCAGAACGAAGAGTTTGTAATTCAGCTTCTCCACTAAAGGTCCAAAATTTCAAATGACTACTGCTGGCAAACATTGGACTTTGTGTAGATTAATATCACTCAATATGTAGAATCTCCCAAATTTTTTACCTTAATAAAACATTAGAACTGAATTGATAATAAATTAAAAAGTAAACTAGTCAATGGTTTTATTACATTATCTACCAAAAACATTGTAGTGAAACCAACATGTCACTGAAACACTGAACAACAGACAGATGCCAAAAAAAAAACCCTTTTCATATTCATTAAGGCTACTATTTGCATGAAGTTACATTTATAATGATGACTATGAGACTCTCAGTACTTTCTGTCTACAATGTCTGCCAATCATTTTCTGGAAAAGAAGTGTGTTTATTTCAATTGTCACCAAAACTTATAAATATTTACTTATTATATTCTATGGCCCCAAATACATTTTCACTCTAAGACACATGATGATAGTATAGGCCTATAGTTGAAAATTTTAACTTAACCCATGATAAATAAATCCTACTATCTGACTACATTGAGCTCTGAATTGAATTTTTTCTCTTATTTCATAAATATTCGAAATAAAATTTTAAACTTTATGTCATTTGTCTTAGAATGTCTTCAGGTCCATAGAAATATAAAGTACAATGACTTTACATTTGAAATAAACACACTTCCCTCCCAGAAAATTCGAGTGAAAATGACCTGCTTTTCAGACTGAAAATTCCTCTCCGTAAAATTATGTTAACTTGCAATAACTTTCCAGTGGTTGACAATTTCATCAACCCAAAGACAATGTAAGACTCTCAGGTAGTCTCAGTAGTATTTTGTAGTTGATATTTCAAGTCATGTGAAAATGATTGCCAAAATTCAATTTAAAAAAAAGTGTAGTCAGAGAGTACTGCATCTAAAGTGAAATAAAATATGTTATTAAATCAAGTTCTCCTTCTTCACATATCCAAAGCTTACATGTATCTATATAGAGGAGGAAACTACTGAGGTCGAAAATGAAAAGGGGGGGGGGGGGAAACCACTAATAGTGGCACTATGGGAGGAACTTGTAAAGGGGGGAAACCACTGTCAGCCAGAGAGTAATACAACTATGCAGAGTGATAATTGCACTATCAAAATCTATTTTGCTGAGGGCATAGTATAGCAGCATGGGACAGTAAGTTGTGCTTTAATCGTAGATGCTTTCTTAATAAATTATCCTCATGACATACTTTTCATGAACCACGACGAAAGACCAAGACTTTACAAAGAAATGAAAATTATTTTTTAAAAACCCATGCAACCGGAAGTAAAACAAAAGAGTTATCTTTCTTTATTGTTCAGTTTCTTTGTCATCCAGCCATTATTAATAAACATAAAAGCTGTATCGAAAAAGGCATGATGATAGAAAATAAATATATTATAATAACAGGATTGAGTGCAAGAAACAAATTTTCAAAACTGAGATTGTTGTTTCCACCTCATAACAAAATAAGGAAGCACTCCTGAGTCGTCCAATCTTAGTTCTAGTACTTTACTCTGTGTGTTGGCAGGTGGAGAGATAATTTTTTTTCAAATTTAAAATTGGAGCACGTATTTTCAATTATTCCCTTTATGATATCTCATCACGATTTCAATATAGATATTTCATTTGGTCAAATTGGTGTCTTAGTTTTGTCAACTTGGACTCGCTTATTGGGAGATTTTGATTTAAACACTAGGCCTATTTTATTTCTACTATACATATCATTTTTACTCAGTATAACTGTATAGGGTTTCGGAAACAAGCCAATGCTTATCGTCGCTTATTTTGATTGTTGCTGACAGATTGAAATAGGTCTGGACATAAGTACAGTCAAATAAACTAATTTCGGGGAAACCTATTATTCGTGGATTCCCGGAAATGATTAATAATTTACATGAGCGACCTTGCGCGACCTCCGCATTAGTTTGTTTTAATAAACATGGGTTTTCTGTACAATATCAGCTAGTAGAATGAATCCAGTACTTTCAAGCAAGGTAAAATGTATTAATGTATACTTTGACAAATACAAAATGGAGGATTTCACTTATTACCAAACGTCACCATTTTTTATCGGCCGAATTTCCTTATAATCCCAAGCGCTAATCGGAATTCCAAGTGTCGTCTGCTAGAATGTAGTCCAACGAATGAAGTCACATGATCAACTAGCGGATTCCGTGTCAGCAGAAAATTTCTATGGAACACCAAGTGCACCATATTTTTATGTTGTTTCAGTGACTTTTAGCAATAAATCACGCTACGAATCTTATTTTGTCAGTCGCTATTTTTTTTTAAATCGTGGTTCTTTGAAGGAATTGTCACTAGTTATAATGAATTAATATTAAAGATAAATACTAAGAGAAGTTAATTATACCACCCGGTATCTATACAACGTGTTTTTCTCGACTTATTTATAGATCAAACATTGTACACGAAAATAGGTGACACATTCTGTCGCCGTAGCCGAGTTGGTTGCTCATGAAATATGTGTCAAAGTGAAGAATTCATAAAGAAAATCAAAATAAACCAATTTTAATTATTTTGTAGAGTATCTGAGGAAACATCTAAGACATAAAATTTTTTTTTCGTTTTTTTAACTTTGACGAAATTCGGTGTTGAATCCTTATATCCACGAAAATAGGTTACACCACTGTAATAAATGGTTTTTCATACAATTACTGGGGCAATTTATTCTTCAAGAACTGTTGGAGAACTGCCTAGCCATTTCAACTGTAGTAGGTTTGCATTTGGCTGTAGTCTACTTTTTGATTAAGACTTTTAGCCTTAGTAATATATTAGTTTATTGCAGATAATAGACCCGTGTTTTTAACAATTCATTCATTGGTTATTATATAACTAATGCCCTGTTTTCTGATGCGCTATATTGCTCAATAATTTTTGTTTAAATATTATTTTTAGACTTTAGGCATGGCTGAAGAAAGTATGTTAAGTGAATATGAAGAATTATTTAAATCAAGATATACAGAGGATGATCCTGATTATAAAGCAACTATTGATAAATCACTAGATTCACCACCATGTCTTCAAGATTGGTTTGTGAAACGCAACGACTGGCATCAGTAAGCTTATTACATCAAAATGTTTTGCATGTATATGTATACATTGATAATGGATTTTAAGCCTACCATACTTTATCTCAGATATTATAAAATTTGTGCTTAATGATAAGTTAATTGACTCTAGGTGTCTGGATTAGAATTTTGGGAGGGTTAATAAACAGTTAAACCAGTTGTGCATTTGTTTACCACCTGATTGATCTTGATCTCCATCTCCGATAAATGTTGTCCTTTTCAAAAGTGTATCTTTTATTCTGTGATGAGTTTGAATAGACATATCTGTGAATTTGAAAGAGACCATAGTTTTGGTTTTTATTTTCTAGCAGATGTATCTTTTCTTTTAAATTATTATTTCTATCTTTGTAATTTTAGGAACAGAAATGATAACAGAAATCGGGATGGTGGTTACAGAGGATATGATAATAGGAACAGAGGTGGTTATAGAGGAGGATTCAGAGATAATAGAGAAGGCTCTAGAGGTGGACATAGAGATAACAGGGGATATGATAACAGAAGGTATAATGATAACAGGGGATATGGTGACACAAATCGAGGGTATGATGACCGATCCTATAATCGCAGATAGTGTTGATTCTTAATGAAATGTTCGAATTGAATCATTGCTGTGTTGACTAGTCAATCTAACTGCAAATATTGGCACTATAACTGATCCAGTTGCTCTAGATATTTCCATATTTTGACATAAATATCAAGTAAGATTTTGTGTTTAAATGTAAGTAGGTAAATTATAAAGTACTGAAATGGTGTGATATTCAATGCACATAATATGGAAGAAAATTTAATTGCTTCATACATTTAGTGGAATATAGAAGAGATTGTCAACTATGTGTTATGTTGGGAGACTTTATTCAGCATTTTTCATTTTTGACTTCATATAAATTTATTGAACCAAAATTTGTGGTCAAAAACTGAAGCAAAATGTTTACATGAGTGTTCAGAGCTCATTGCAATGCAAAACATCTTGTTCAATGCCTTAAAACCTGAAGGAATTCAATCCAATATATTCACAAAAGAAACAAGAAAATAATTTTTATAAGTTTATATATTTTAACTGCAGACAAAGATTGACAATACAATATTGCACACTTTATATTGAAGCAAAAATGTGATGGCAAAAATAACAAAAAAAAATCTGAAAAACAAAATTTATAATTTTCATTCCTTAATTGGCTTTACTTCATATTAATAGCCAATTTCTAATATTTGAATTGAAATTAATGAAAATCTTATGATTGATTTAATACTATACCTTCTTATTGTTATCAATAAATGTAATTGTTATTATGAAATATTAATTGGTCTTATTATTACATACACCTTCAAGGTCCAATTCTAAAGGCCACAGCTTTTTAGTCCAATAGGCTGATTTTCTTCAAGTTTTTCTGAAGAAAGCATCTTGTTATTTGCTTTGAGCTACTAAGCTGTAAATTTTAAAATTGGAATTGTTGGCTAAATGGATGATGAAAAATGTAATAGAATAACAAGGGTAACAATTGAAAGACTTGAAACATTTCAAATGAGCTCTAAAAGCTGTCCAAATTGGCCATTGTTTAAATAGATACAAAATTCATGCACATGCTTCAAATTCTTCATAATTTATCACTTCAAAGTAAGAATAGAAAACAAATTGCATAAAAATTGTGATGTAATATAGAAGAAATATAACTATCTGTGAACAAGACCTGTGTATCAAGGTTTTGTGTTTAAAAGCATTATGCTTGAGTGAAATACAAGTCTTGTTTACCTTACAGTTATAATTTTTAAAATAACAGCACTAATGATAATAACATTTACATTAACAATAATTTACGTACAATTATTTGATGTTAACAAATTCCATACAACTTAAGATTTGGATTTGAGCAAATCAGAAGTTTATGGATTTAGTTAAATGTCTCAACTATTTCTCTATAAATACAAACAACTTGTGTAAAACCATTAACCAATGACTAGAAATTAACCCAACAATGTGCTTCAAGCCTGTGATACATGGGTAACAAAATCTATCCTCTCCTTTCAATCTTGTACCACACATACCCTACTTAAGCAAAGCTTTAATGATCACCCATCTCCACTTTCAAACATGGCAATGTAATAAATGCAGCAGTTACATAATATGTGAATATAACACATTCAATGAAATAAAGAAATATATAACGAACATACAAGAGGGTGGGGGTATATATATTTCTATTTGGGGGTTGGGGATATTGCACTTTAAACTAGACATAACATATTACCATACCACTATATTCAGTGATATAATATCTAAAGACTATTTTGTTAGTCTAAGTAATAATTGCACTGTGAAAACAATAAATGATTATATAGAAAACATGCAGTTTAAATATTTACAGGTCCAAATTCAGAAAGAGATTGGTTCCAACTAAATATTTTGAATTAATTACCACCACAAAGAATTTTTACCAAATCTATTTTCATCTTTCAAATAAGCTTCAATAAAATGCCAAAGTTACCCATACAAATTAACCAAATTTAACAATAATCATGAATTACATGTTTCTGTAATTGGAAACAAATCACTTTCTGAATCTCACTAATTTAATATGTTAATTAGTGTATTATTGATAGAAGTCATTATGTATTATGTTGAATTCATCTTCATCAGTGACTGGTCTAATAGCTGTAAGTTGTACAAGTCCTTCTTGAGAACCTTTAGCACAATATAACAAGGTAGAATCCAGTTGAGCTAGCACTTCTAGATAGTCTCCTTTTTCATACGATAAATAATCACTATCCTCACTATCATATGTTTCTAATACTTTACCATATCTATAATAGAAATGAGGTTAGGGTGTTAGTTTCTATATGGCATGCAAAGGATTATTTTCTGACTGCAGTTTACATAATATGATACAGTTTTATGTTATTTGGTCCTCAAAATTAACATTTTTTTTTATGTGAGCTTACATCTACTCATTTGATAAAGAGAAGAAACTCAGACATAAAACTGATTCGTTTCCTATTTTTTCCATACTTTTCAAATATCCTAAAATCAAAAAGTCAATAAAAATCCCAAACATCTGTAACTGCTCAAGAATTTTAATTTTAATAACATATTGTGTGTGTGCATTAAGAACCAGTACTGCCAACAATTTTGAGTCTGACATGCAGTTCATGCACAATTTAATAGCAAACTATATATCCAAAAATATCAGCTCATTCATCAATTTTCTGCTGTGAAACATGCTTGAACAACATTCATGTTAAAATTAATGCTACATGCAAAAACAAATTGAACAAAAGTAAAAATGCAACAAAAAATAAATTTACCATGCAAAATTGAACAACATTGCAGAATTGTGTTACTTCACATTCACAAACCTAAATAACAGAAATAAGGAAATAAAGGTTACAATATCACACCAAATACATCAGGCAATCATCTGACATAACTAATAATAAATAGTAACAAATATGTGCTTCAACAATCAACGAAGTCAGAGGAGACACAGCAAATAAATAACAGCAAAACACTTTGGAATTATAGCTATCAAAAGGTCAAATGCATAAAAATTAAGAATTCACTAAAACTTTAATCTTCTGTGGTCCAAGTTAAACAATGCAGTCTACATTCAAATGAATATTTTGTTCATAATTGTTTAAGGCTTCTTGAATACTGTGCACTTCACAAAGAAAATCAGAAATGAACTAGGAGGGAAACAAAAATGGATTCACAACATAACAATTAGATATTTCAACTACCTGAATTCAGTGAGTCTAAAATCATCCCTTTTCATAGCCATTTCGCTCTGTGCACAACCTTTGACTGGTTGAGGTTTTGGAAGCTGTACACGCATGATAGGACTGGCTTCAATTACAGCAAACGACGAAGCAGATGAACCAGCTTTCAGATGTGATTCGCTTTTCATTTGTTCATCACTGTCCATCACAGCATCATCGATTTCATTGACACTTTCACTTTCTTTGTTGATATTTTTAGTATCAAATCCAGCAGATCTGACTTCATCACTCACTGATTCAGCTCTAGGTAATGTCTGTTCAGAACTTTTCACTTGCTGAATGTTTTTATTTGACAGAAGCAACTTATCAATCAAAGAGGTGATATCAATTGTCTTTTTCGTATTGCCATCAGTCACTGTTTTAGTAGGAGAATCCAATAGAGCCTTCATTGATAAACTTGAACTTGAGTCATCTCCCTTTTCTACACTTCCCGCAGAACTTTCCAGACTTCTGTTTTCCATAAATTTCTGTGTTAGTCCTGTTACCACTGGTGTATTACTGGCAACTTCTTCCTTCACTTCTTCTTTAGGTTCCACAAACTCTCCATTGAACAGCATCCTGGTTGGGCTTCTAGTTGGTGATTGTTGAGCCCAGGTTGTCTTGTTTCCTTTTGAGTCAGTGCTAGAAATGGAATCAGTACTTTTCTGCATGACTGGAATCTGACTGACTTTAGGAGTACTGGTAGGTTTAGTCGGTATTCTAGAAGGTTGTGGTATTTTAGAGGAGCCTACAGGAATCCTTGATGGAGTTGGTTGTACTTTAGGCTGTGTTTTTGGTACAGGTACTTGTGATTGAGCCTTTCCAGCAACTGGTTTACGAGCAGTGAAAGTACTGAGCTTCTTGGGTCCATCTTGAATCTTATTCATTGTTATTGATGTAACTGATTTAGCTTTTGGGATCAATGAATTTCCAAATGAATCCAAGATTTTCTTACTAGAACCTTTGAGTTGTTCACTATCCGATACACTTTTTGGTACTGCCGATTTGGTCCCAACCTTCTCAGAAACAGTTTTATCTTCAGATTTCCCATCACTTGAATTATCCAACATGGCTGCAGCAGCTGGTGTATGAGCAACAAGATCATAATCTAATTGAAATGGTAGAGTTGAGAGTGGTTGTAAGGCAAGAATCATACTGTTGTACTGTTTATCAAGCTTGGTCTGACTGTAACGTAAAATGGCTTCAGGGTGATAAACTTGTTCTTTTAAATCATCTTTCATCTGAATGTATCCAACCCAGAAATCCAGTAACCTTAAACTATAAAATAAAATATTTATAGATCACTAAAGCAAGCTGATATTTTATTCCCAAAAAAAGACTTGTGCAAGTCACATACCCAAATTTCAATTAAATTTTATGCAAACTGAATTTATTATCAATTAATCAGCAAATAGTGACCTCAAACTTCTTTTTTGGTTAAAAAAATAATAATAATTCTATTCTTTGCTCATTAGCCTTTATGAAGTTCTCTATGTAAGGCAGTAGTATGACTTTGTAAAAACCAATATAAAATACTTTACATAATTGTCTTTCCTCCCTTTGGACGAGACTACAGTTGAACACTGCTATGAGATTGACATTTGTCAACAATTATTACTTACTTGAGAAGTCCAGCAATAAAGGCATAAAACCTTTGTTTATTTGACAGCAGATTTGGCCTTGTTTTCAACTGTTTTACCAGTGTATTGATTGATCTTGTGTATGGACCTAAAAAGTAACAGTATATTTTATTCTTATTAGTTGCACCAATTCCTAAAGATCATGGCTAATGATGGCTATGACAAAGTGAATAACAAATCTGTATGGAAAACTTGTCAGTGAACTCCTTATGCCAATAATGAAAAAGTATTGGTATTTAAGTGACATGGTGTGTTATAATAAACTATTTACTCACCAACTTCTGCTGACATTTCTGCTATTCTCCATGGAGTGATGTGAATTTTACCAAAGACATGAATACCAGTTCTATGTGGCTTCATTCCATCTTCTATCACCTGTTCCATGGCCGGACACAGTTCCTTAAAAACTAGTGTTCCAACTTCTGGCGTTTCAGCAACGCTCCCTAGGCGTAACTAAAAATAGATGACAGAAAGATGTTAAACAGATAGAAGGAATAAGATTTGACTTTAGTAATTGTAAATAATCAACTTTTAAACAGTGTGTACTTGGTGTAGTTATAAGACGATTGTTTACTGGTTGGAGAGTCACATTTAGCAATTTCTTGCCAAATATGTTGAACCACAATGGCAAAATTTGGTTAAAAAAATACCTTGCGAAAAAGAGAGCAACCTACCTTATCGAAAGGATCCCTGGCTTGGGCGAAATGTAATACTAGGGTTTCAGCTGCACGGGTTATGTTGGAAAGCAAAGCTACAAAAAAATAAATTCAAATATTAATCAAGTACACAATAATATTTTAACACAAAATGGATGGCATCTAATCAGGGCTGTTACAACATACATACATATATATATATTTAAAACAAGAGAAGAACCTACCTATTTTCCTGTTGAGTTCCATCAATTCCTCAGAACCTTGTTGAACCTTGTCATCAAGGGTGGGACTGATTTGGAACTCAACGGGAGGGTTTTCAGCAAATAATCTTTTAGGTTTCTCTGGGGGAACTGAAATAATAGAAGACATGGATGTGTTATAAATCAACACTTTGAGAAAAGTTTAAATATTCCATATCAATATAATAATTCTGGACTTTTAACTCAAGATCCATATTGTTACACAAAATCTAGATTTAGCCATATAATTATAATACCTTTCCTATTGGCTCATAATCACATATACTATGGTTTTATTCTATGGTGTAGAATAATCATATATAAAATTTTTATTTTTTTACCTGTTTCACTAATTTCTATGCGTAATTCTTCATCTTCCATTTCTATATTAGTAACTTTAGCAGAATCAGGGAGGCGATGAGGAGAAACTTGTGGACTGCACTGTGGTGACTGGAACAAGACTTCAGATGCAAAACTAACTCTCTTGTTAGCTTTGCTACCGTCATCCAAAGAGGTGCTCTGGGAACCAGCTTGTTCTTCGGGTTCTTCAGCAACTGGATTTACAGCTGCAAATGGCACTTCCTCTTTAGGGTCCTCAGTCACTTCCACAATATCTGTTTCCTTATCAGTAGTTTGGGGGAAAAGACTATCACATGCAATGGAGTAGCGATTAGGCTTTCTAGGCATTTTCAATGAATCATTAAGCTGAGCATTCAGGTTGTCAGGATTTGAAAGTGAGCGTGATCGACAACCTTTATCCATTTTGCGTAAGCATGATTTTAATGGTTTTCTTCCACAGCTAATGTCTTCTTGAACTTCAATAGAATAGCTGTTTTCATCATCTTCAATTTCATAATATTCACGATTATGGTAGCGTTTCTCCATGTTGCCTGATAAATGATATCCTCTAAACACATGGCCATGAAGTTTGGCTCCTTGGTCAAATACTGTGTGTGAATGTTTCTCTGGTGATGTTGGGCTTTCTTCTTTCACTGAATATAATTTATCAAGATGAAGAGATGATGAAGAATTGGAAGAATTACTCAAGTTCATTTTGCGAGATGATTTTCTTTTGCCAAAGGATGAATGATGATCATGTCCAGAATGATCTGTTCGATCATGATGATGGTGATGATGATGAGTTCCGTGAGATGAATCAGATCGTGGTATGTACTTCTGGGCACATTCTAGATGAGGTGGTTGGAAAAGGATCCTTTCCAGATCTTTAGCCATACCTTGACTGCATCTACAATCATAGCAATCTCCATCAATACAAGAAGATGTGGAGTTGGTACTTATGCCACTGCTTGATCCAGATTCAAAATATCGTCCTGAACGTCGCTTCTCTTTATGACATGAGCAATATCCAGATTCCTTCTGACATGATTGAGTCTGCTGACTATCATCAACAACTGGTGTCAGAATTATTGGGATTTTAACTGGGTCAAAGAGAGAATTTTCACAGTGCTCTATTCGAGGTCCAGGTGATAAGAAACTCAAGTCTGGCAGTGATCTATGAGAGTAGAATTTATGCTGGCTGTGTCTTGATGGTGACAAACTTGATGACCGTCTTGATGATTTTGGCTCTCTGCTTCTCTGTCTGGTTTCTGATGCAGCTTTTCGTTGATGAGCTTCCTTTTCAGGTTTCCTGGGTTCATGATCTACACCAATGTCTTCTAAGATATTTAAGATCTCATTGTGTGAGCTTGGTGATGTCTGTTGTGATTGATCATTAAGAGGAATTGGATCTCCATCCATACATGCTTGGATTCCACACTCTTGTGTCTTTGGAGGAAACTGAGAAGAGAAGTTTCTAGTACCATGCCATAATGTGACCTTGTCTTGGGAGATAGCTGTACTTCTGGAATACATATTAACTGGTGTTGTGTATCGTATTGGAGAATTCACACTGTTCCTGCTACTGCATCTTGAATCTTCTTGATAAGGACAGCCACAGCTATTCTCACTTCCATCAAAACTCGATTCACTGCTATTCCCACTATATTCTGATTGAAATCTCTCATTGATGCTGTTATCTGGGAATAATATCTGTTCCACAGCTCTGATGGTGTCAAGACTCACCATGCTACTTGGACTCTTCATTCTCTGGTACAATTCTAATAGAGATGATGAGTGTCTCTTGTTGTGGAAACTATCTGCTATCTCTTGTAATCCTCTTTGCTCCAGTGTTTGTTTACATCCTGTTCCCCATGAAGTCTGAACACACAGATCTGGCATACTGTGAACTTTGTCTGAAGAGGTACACAGAATACCAAACTTCTTCAGATTCTTTACTTGCTTCCATGATGTTAGTTTTTTTACCCTTTTCATGGACTGTTGTTTATCTGTACCACAGAATTTTTGCTGTCCATCCAATGATCCATAAGTCCCCTTACTAGGCGTCATTTTGGAACCCTCTTTCGTTGGAGAAGATTTAGGAGAGTTCTTTTTTGGTGAAGATTTGGGGCTTGATTTTGGTGATCTTTGGGAGGCATTTCCATTTGAAGACTTTGAAGCCTCAGTTGAAGCTGACTTTTCAATTGATCTTTCTTCCAGAGTATCAAGTCCAGACTTTCCAGATGGTACTTTTAAATTACAACTGTTTGAATAACCATCATTCTGACCAGCCTGACAAAAATGGAAACTATTGGAGCAAATTTCTTCACCTTCATTTGAGCTGCATGATGGACTGCAAGTAGCGAGTCCATCTTGAGAGGATGTTTGTGATGCATAGGAGTTACTGCTTAATGAAGCTGTTGATTGACCTTGTGAAGATGAATTAAAGGAGAGGAAATATTCATCTTTACGAGGACAGCAATCAACAGTTAGCTTTCCATCACCTGAGGTGCGACTACAGCAATTCGATTGATTTTGTGATAAACTGTCTGTGGAGTATAGCTGTGCACCTATTTCAGCTGTTGGGGTAGGTGTGAACAGAGGATCATTACTGAATTCTAACATGTCACTAGAACACATCATTTCACGTTCACTGGATGATACTTCCATTGATGTACGACTACCAGACAGTTCAGATTCATAATTTCCAAAATAAAGATCTGGATGAGACAGAGATTCACGAAGATTACCAAATCCTTTATAACTACCGGTTAAAGATGGTGGAAAGGCATATTCTTCCTCTTCTTTTGCCTTTAATGACGAGTTCCTAATATTTGTGTCAAATTTCACAGTAAAGTCTTCATCATAATAATATTCACTGAATCCAGCATCATCAGGAGATGAGCTTGATGAATGGCGTCCGTTATTCATCTGGTCGCTTCCTGATAACGAATCAAACTCTTCACGTGAATCCTGACCCTCACTTTGAACATCATTCGAATAATATCCACTCTCAGGCCTTTTCTTACGCACTGGCTTTTGACGAACTTGTCCCTTAACTTTACTTGGTGATAAATCCTTCCATGTAACTGTTTGACCACTGCTACTTTGTGAAACATCCCATGATCTCGATCTTTTTGGACTTCCAAAACTGTCACTCATTTTCCTCCCAACTATGTTTTCATTACTACTGTTGGGAGATACATCCTTCCAAGTAGAATACTTCTTCTTTCCCTTGGGATGAACTTTAGGTAGTGTTGCTCGCGTTTCCAATTTCTGGTAGCCCTCATTCAGAGAATCTACCATTATATCTGTCGCCTTATTGTTGTAATTGTCATTGTCAATCTGATTTGTGCATTGAATCACATTTTTATTAATAGGTTCCACACAAACTAGAGTATAGTTCCTGTTAGTAATATTGTCGGTATTCTGTAAAATGTTTGTAATATTGGCTCCATTATTTACAGTATTACCATTACTACTTGTCTTCAATGATCCAAACGTTGGGGACATATTTTTCCATGCAGTCTGAAAATACATTAAAAGAAAAGAATTAAAATTTAAATAGAGAAATAATCAATAAAGTATTGTTGAACACAGTAGATATTGATTGACTGACATTGTTAGGGGAATGTACTGTGTATATAACCATGATGAAAGATTATCAGTCATTCATTCATTTCCAGTTACAAGCGTTACTTGTGTGATTTTTAATATCTCAGTTTTGTATATATACAATAAAGGCTGATTCTCAATTCTTGAAGAACATTCACCTCATCAGGCAAGCAAAGCAACAACTTCTTAAAAACATATTTTAGACACATTAAGCATTATGTATCAACAATCACTGGTTTAGGTTTTATGCAATTTTCGACGTTTTTCCCCCGTAATATAATATTATGACAAATATGTCAAATTTAAAAATCACCGAAGATGTTAACATTTTGCAGGAAGCAATTTTAACCACTTTTCTAGAAACAAATACAACATGTCACATCACATTTGAATATATTCAGTCCTTGATGTTACAAAATATTGGAAAATTCAAATCTACAGATATACACACGGGGAAGATTGGTAACCTTGAGCTTTACAAATTATCATTTGATTATTATTCTGTTCAAAGCTAGACTATTTCCTTGTTTTACATAACCTACACCAAATATCATTGAACATAAATAAGCATAGATTTTAAAAATATGAGTTAAAAATTCATGTCTGTTGTGAAAACCTATAATTACTTCCTTGATAACTGACTTCCATGAAAAATAATACTTGTAATACAAAATATAGTCCAACAAGATATCAATCAGATCAAATATTCATCACATACAGGGAAGATTGCACATATTATGGGGTAGCATTGATGATGTACTAGCCAGATTGACAATTGACTTCCCTTTAAAATAACGTGAACTGACTGTATTTATGTTTTAAATTGTTGGTAAATTTGCAAAAAAAGTTTGTCTGTGACTAGTCACTATCTGTCTTTAAACAAAAACAAAATTAGCAAAAGATATAAAAGATCCAAAAAGACTTCAATCAAACTGTTTATGTAATTTGTAAATTTCTATGTAGCCTACAAAGCTATCACTGTTTAGTTGTTAAATATAAGTATGAGGCAAGTACAAAGCTATCATTCATTTGTTGAACTAATAGCAGGAAATACTTTTCTTTACCTACCATATGAAACTAATCAATTCTAATTAGTTAGGAATCATAATAAAGAGAACTCTAAGCACTACCATATGTAATATCTTACAACATTATACTAGACAGTGTTCACATATTAAACATTCAAATATAGATCAGCCTACATCACTATTAGCTCTGTATATATTATTCACAATATTTGGCGCTTTACCAAAATGTCAAATTCAGGATGAATAGAGAGCGAGACTGTGAAATATAGCCTAATATCAACTTATAGAATACAGTGTTATAGATATCATTGTCATAACAAAATATTATATATCTATCTAATTTACACAAAATTCATGTTGTACATTTTTAGAATGATATCAATTAAAATGTATCATTGTTTTGTTCTATTCTGGTCCAGACATGAAATTGGTTTGAATCAAATTCTTAAAAGCCTGTCTATGTCAAATTGCCATTTCTTGTTATTACATATTACACAACTTAATGTCTCAACCAAACCACAAAGGGGTACTTGAACTATTTTATAAAATATCTGGATATGTTTTCTCTTCAATTTACATTTCAAAAGCCCTACAGACAGCTAGAACTTGTCTTCTATCAACTGATTCAATGACTTCACCTCTTTAAAGTAAATGATACTACATAATTTCAACCACACAAAATTACCAATTTCCCATTCCTGACAAATTCAGTATGATTGTATGATCACTAGCAGTCTGATGTTATGATATGAGAAAATCAATAATTGTATCATGTTGGTTAGGTCAACCTCTAAACAGTACAATCATCTTCAAAAAGAAGTAGATATTCTTACATTCATATAAAGTCATCATTGTTTATGAAGAAATAATGTGAAGCTTCACACTTTCAGCTAATGACATAAAGAAAACACTCTGGTATAATTATACCAACTGATAATAACCATACAAGATATACTAATGAGACCTACTGGGACTTAACCAACATGATGTACAAATTATGATGTACAACATTCTAGAATTTAATCATTTAGAAATTGCATAGTTGTAATTTACAAACAAATACAATTTGTTAAACAGTAAAAAAATGATCATTAACTGTTCTAAAATTACTGTATAAGGGATTGATGCCAACTGGAACATTTGTTACCAAACTATTCTTAGACTGAATGAAAAACAACATTAGTTAATGACAAAAAATAAGAAAGTGGGTCAAATCTGATACAATAATAATGACAATCTTCATTATATAAAAACTGAATGGTTCATATTAAAGGTTGTAAAGTAATAATGACCAGTTCCTCTAAAAACAATGGATTAAAAAACAAATACTTAACAGACATTTAAACTCTTAAAATTGGAAACAGCTATTTATATGTAGGCATTTGCAATAGTCATTTTAGCTATTTCTAGCTATGTTTGTATGATGACACAATGACACAGAAATATTTGAATTGCACCATATCAATGTCCACCATAGAATGTGTGTCACTCCAGTTGTCATGTAGAATGGTAATATTTATTTGTATGAATTATTGTACAGACCTACAGTCTCTAGACTAAGATCAATATATTGATACTGGGTGGAACAACTCCACCATCTGTCACACTCTACCTCTACTTCTTATAAACTCTAGAAATATTAAAGTCAACAGATGGTCTACCATTATATATTTCTATTATTACTGTATTCATTCTAATAAATTACCATGCACTATTTAACATGTAGCCAGAAGGTATTTTCTGCCATTTAGTTCTATTGATTATAACAGTCAAATGTAAGATAGACAATCAAAGACTGGTATCAGTTTCTGATTGAAATAAATTGATCATTATCATGTTCATTAATGGATTTGATCATGCCTACAATAAATACAATGGGAAAGGACCACACCAGAAATATGGTAAATCAGCAAGTAGGTGCTAAGCTTCCCTGATCACAAGTTCTGTCGCATGGCTAAAATGCCTGACAATGCACACAGAATTACAATTACAACATTAAACCATATGGAATGGTGTCAGATTCTATGTGATCAATGTTCCTCATCATCAAAGAGCAACTTTAATAACATTACATGTAAGATCTGCACAATACCATAGCTTACTATTGAAACACCATCTAATAATGCTTAACAATCAAAACCAACTTTTCTCCTTTAATAACCTGAATATGGATATGATGATATTTGGCATTTAATGATAGAGCTTATTAGAATCACTATGGTACCTTTCAAATCATTCCAGTACAAACTACTACAAATCTTTCCTATACCTGATATTTAAACACACCTATCTTACCTTCCTGACTGTACAACCTCTCAAACATATCTATCTTTCAACATACTAATAGGAAAACCATACTGTAGTGAAGAATTAGTGACCATATTGTTTTTACTAGAAACACTAGACTATCATAAATAAATCAAACCTTGACACCTTCAACACTTATACTTCTGACTTCTATCTACATTTTATTTCATAAGTATATAGACTAAATTACTGTAGTGTAGGCTACTGAATGATGTTTAATTTCTCTGTTGATAAAGGTGCTATTTATGACTAGGTATCTAAATGAAAGATCAAGGCTTTCAGACACATAACACCTTTTAAAAGTTGCACTAACATTTGACATCGGTTTGGAACATCTGTGCCATTAGATTGACCTAAAGCAATATAACACCAAGTATTTGACAGTGAAATCATGAATATTCAAACCGACAAATCAACTTGCTTCCATGTAGCTATGTTTACATTTATTTTGTAACTTTAAATACATGCGCAAAACTCGTGTATAATATGGCATACATGAAAGGTCTGTTTTTATTGGTTAAAATTCACCATTTATTTATTGATAAGGGGGCGTGGTTTTGGCAACAATAACCCTTTCTCTACCAATTGAGAAATTAAATAACATGCACAGAAGTAAAATAACTTGAGCATGAAATATGATAAAATTGCTGTTATAAGCAAGACTATAAATAGACAATGTAATCTGTATGTCAAAGAACTGATATTTAGATAAACACTGATACTACATAACACCAGATAATATCATAGGATAAAAACAATAAAACAGAAAATAATATCATGAATTTTGGCGCCAAATAATACAGGTGTCAGACATACAACAATGTTTATTAGCAGTAGGAACTGTAGGGAGGAAGGAAGATAATATAGCTTGCTATATGGTATTACAAGATTAGTTATCATACAAAAATCAATTTCCATGAATTTAATAATAAAAAAAAGAGACAAATATAACTGTAGAATTAAATTATATTTCCAGATATATTATCAAAATGTAGCCAAAAGGCACTACTTTAATCTTTCCTTAATCTCTGATATAAAAATAATCTTTATTAAAATATTTTTTGATTCCATGATTATAATCTAACAAACGTTTTTTGTGAGAAAAAAAGCATGATATGTCAACCCTATTTTAAGACAGATTCAGGAAAGTGCATTCTTTTTTTCCAACAGGTAATTCAAAAATTCTTTTTTTGTTGACTTCAAAACTAGTTATTTAGAAATCAAGAAGCTTTAAACCAATACAAGTTGTTACAAATGTGAATCAAACACATTCAGATTTCCTTTCTTTAAAAGACAATAAAATTCTCATTAAATAGCTTTTGAAGTTAAAATTACCGGTATTTGAAACATTGAATTTCCATAATGTAGCAGTTTCTTCTTTCATCTGACTGTATTAGTCATCAGTATTTCTAGTTTAAATCTAACACAACTCTGAATCATAGACAATCTTATTAGGGCTAGATTGATAGGCCATACTGCCTTTCTTATAGTTTACCTGTGGAAAAACAGACAGATCGTTGGCACTCCTATAGTGATCATACCTTTTTAATAATTGAAATAGAT